ATCACACTAGTTTTCACTAGATGTGGATGGAGCCAATGATCTGCATTGGATGGAGCACATGACGGGAAATAAATATTTATAAACATTAAACCGAATAGAAAGTACAGATACTTGTGTGAAAATGTAATGAGTAGAAGTCAGAAGTAGGAAGAAAAATAAGTAATGGAGTAAAGTATAGATACCTAAAAAGTGTACGTAAGTACAGTAAAGAGGTATTTGTACTTTACCTGACACCTCTGACCATTTCTAATCAGAGATGGTTTGAAATATTCGGTCATGGTTGAAAACCATGCAAAGGGAGTGTAGAAGCACTCCAGCTCCTTTACTTTCTTCTGTACCGCATGGAAAAACACTCTAGCAACTAGTATTGAAACGCGAGCAATTCCAGATAATGTTCTTCAACTTGTGATGTTTATTAAAAGAAAACAAAAATAAGAGAACATCCACATTCGTATAAAATAAACTCGGTCAAAAACTGTGTTGCTTCCAGCATATCTGTTTTTCCCTCAGTCCTTACCTAGAGTACGTAAAAGCAAACAAAAAAACAAACAAAAAAAAGAACACATATACAATTACAGAAGCCCAAAAATATGCATTTCAAATTGCATTTCTATATTCTATGCTTTTAATATTAGGGTTTTTTAACTTAGAATCTTAACATCAAACAAAATTATCAATCTTGTATTTTAACCCTTTTTAAAACTATAAATGAATTTGTCTCAAATTGGCTCTTACAGGGAGGCTCTATGAAGGCCTCAGAGGTTTAAGAACCTAAAGCCTGGTTTATGCTCATAAACCAGGTTGTTTGCATGTGTGTTGCAGTTAATGCAGATATATCACACCCTACTGCAGACAGAGGCGTAGGCAGAACATTTTTATAAGGGTGGCCCAGCAATAACCAATGTACACCGAGGGATGGGCGAAAGCGGATAGGCATCAGAACCTCAGGGTCAATCTACACTGTTCCAACGGGAAAATTAACAAGCAAAACATCCATATTTTTAAAATAAAGACAAACTATACTTTCAATGGCATAAATATCGGTAAGCAGAGACAGCATTTGCTTAGTGGACCCATCACTGACACCTGGTAGGCCCCCTACGCAACTGTAGACTAGGACGTCTTTTTGCATATTCAATGGTCCAAAAAATTCCTCTCAATACCTCTGATACTGAAGTGACAGACGCACCTGACCGTATTTATACCCCAACACATGCCAGATTTCAACATGATGGTAAACCGTTTAAACGCGACACCGATAGCAAAGCAGACAGTGGTACTTTTAATTACTATGTTAATAACTGTGTATAGTTCATTACAGTTGGGAAAAAATACACTCATATATTGCAATAAAGATCTTAAAAGAACTATGTATTTGAGTATTTAATTTTTTACTCAACAACTTGGAATTATGGGTAATCCAGAGCGTAGATTAGAACCATAACCGTTAGGTACAATGTGTTAGCGACGATGCAATCCAAAAAGGTACTTAAGCGGATTCTAGAAAAGAAAAAGTAAAGAAGAGCTGCTGGAAGAACGGAAATATTTTTCCAAAATAAACACGTTCTTTCTGCTGTTCGATAAGCATCTCCCTGACCTGTAACATGTGGTGGTGCGCTGTCACCAATGGTCCCATTCAAAGTGCACAGTCACTATTTTTCCGTGTGTGATCATATACTAGTGAGAATTACGTAAATGTATCCACCGTATCCTGAACCTTTATCACATGTTGTACTTCGCATGGGGCCCACATAGATAATGTTGTAGTTGTAGTGTCCCGGCCTGAGGTGTTTCTGCGTGGAGTTTGCCTGTTCTCCATGAGCATGCGTGGGTTTTCTCTGGGTACTCCGGCTTCCTCCCACAGTCCAAAAACATGACTGTTAGGTTAATTGGCTTTTCTAACATTGTCCTTAGGTGTGTGTGTGTGTGTGCATGGTTGTGAGGAGATCGTATCTGATTCGCCCCTTGGAACAATTGTTAGATTTCACCTTTACTATTTACTTAAACAGTTGTTTCAAAATTGCAGTTAGCTTTAAGCTTCAGTCGTTCCAAAATAGGATCCCAGCTTTCATCTGTTAGATCAGGAGTCTTTAAATCTAGGCTTAAAGGAATAGTACACCCAAAACATGAT